ACAGAACCGGGCTCCTCCCTACAGGGACCCAGATGGGGTTCTGAGAAGCACCGTCCTAAGTCTGCAAAAGAAACCCCCCCAGAGCCAAGGATGTGCCCAACCCGGCCAACATTCTGAAAGATAAAGGGTACCACACGACAGGAGCAAACACCACATGTGATTTCAGCCAATCGTCCTGTAGTAACTGGACTCCCATTTCCGACTCTCGGAAATGGCGTTCCCAGGAGTCCGGGCTGGGAAATTCCATGCGTGGCATTTAATTTAATCACATCTAACGATGCCGTCTTCTCTTTACACGACCCTGTGTCACACTGTAAGAGGCATTTTCTAGGGTCAGGCATTTCACAGGATAAGTCTTTGTTTAACGTTTGTCTCCTTAGCTAGAGAATGATTTGCATGAGGTCAAGGGCTCTTGTTTATCACTGTATGGTTCCTGCATGTGAATCACCAAGAAGGTGGGTGTGGTAGACAGAATAATGTTCCCCAAAATGTTCTTTTAATCTGTGGAACCTGTGACTATGCCATCTGACCTGGCAAAAGGTAGTCTGCAGATATGATTACATTAATGACCTTGACCTGTAGCGCTGACCCTGGGTGAGCCCAGTGTAATTTCACAGTCCTTTATAGCAGGGAGGCAGGGGGTCAGACTCAGAGAAGGAGGTGTGAGGACAGAAGCAGAGGTTGGAAGGAGAGGGCGGTGTAAAGGTGCTGTGGTGCTCGCTTTGAAGATGCAGGAAGGGGCCATGAGCTAAGGAATTTGGACAACTAAGCTGGGAACAGTAAGGAAATGGATTTTCCCAAGAGCCAGTGTCCTTCAAGGGCTCAGGAATCCCACACCGGTTCTGTCGCCTTGAGGTGCCTCTGGGGCACTGAGTAGAAACAAGAGGTGCTGAACTCAGAGGAAAGATCTGGATGAAGGAGTTAAATCTGGGCTGAGGGTCAGCCAACGTGTGGATGAGATTCTCTGCAGAAAGAAGAGAGAGGGTGTGAAAAGAGGGTCCAGCAGCAAGCCTCCCCAGGTCCAAATGCAACTCTGTCCTGGTTTCCAGAGAAACGTCATCTTCCTGAGAGCCAGGCATGCGGGGTTTAAAATCTGCAGAGAAAAGGAACACAGGACCATCGTAGGATGACTGGAGTCATCTCAAAACTCAAGGGCACTACAGATAAATGCGGGAGACGGTGTGGAGAGAAGGGAACACTCCTACACTGTTGGTGGGAACGTAAGTTGGTGCAGCCACTATAGAAAACAGTATGGAGGGTACTTAAAAAACTAAAAATAGAGCTACCATATGATCCAACAATCCCACTCCTGGGCATATATCCAGAGAAAACCATAATGTGAAAATATCCATGCACCTCAATGTTCATATCAGCACTGTTTACAATAGCCAAGACATGGAAGCAACCTAAGTGTCCATCAACTGATGAATGGATAAAGAAGATGTGGTACATATATATATCATGGAATATTACTCAACCATAAAAAAAGAATGAAATAATGCCATTTGCAGCAACATGGATAGACCTGGAGATGATCACACTAAGTGAAGTAAGTCAGACAGAGAAAGAATCTAAAAACTTATACAAATGAAGTTATTTATAAAACAGAAACAGATTCGCAGACATACAGAACTTATGGCTACCAAAGGAAAAAGGGGGGGGGGATAAATTAGGAGTTTGGGATTAACAGATACACACTACTATATATAAAATAAATAAAAAACAAGGGCCTACTGTAGAGCACAGGGAACTATATTCACCATCTTGTAATAACCTATAATGGAAAAGAATCTGAAATAGCACATATATATGTGTGTGTGTGTGTGTGTGTGTGTGTGTGTGTGTGTGTGTGTGTGTTGTGTGTGTATCACTGAGGCACTTTGCTGTACACCTGAAACACAACACTGTAAATTAGCTATGCTTCAAGTAAAAACAAAAGAGCAGAACAGTCAACAGAGCATTGTATATAAACTAAATAAAATACTTAAAGTGCTTTCCCTTTAAAAAAAAAAAAACAACTTGGGCTTCCCTGGTGGCGCAGTGGTTAAGAATCCACCTGCCAATGCAGGGGACACAGGTTTGAGCCCCAGTCCGGGAAGATCCCACATGCCGCGGAGCAACTAAGCCCGTGCGCCACAACTACTGAGCCTGCGCGCTAGAGCCCACGTGCCACAACTACTGAAGCCTGCGCACCCAGAGCCCGTGCTCCGCAGCAAGAGAAGCCATCACAATGAGAAGCCCGTGCAGCGCAATGAAGACCCGACGTAGCCAAAAATAAACAAGTAAAATGAATAAATTTATTTAAAAAAAAAACAGCAACTTAAGGGCGAAGATGAATTATGGAGAACACATTGATATGTCTTGCCTATGGTGTTTTCCCCAGAGAGCTCTCTCCACTGCAGCAAATGTGCTTTACAGACATATTTCTCACTAAAATTCTGTTGACCCAAAGCAGAGATCTGTTGGAGAAAAGGCATCAGACTGGAGATACATAATTTCCCCTACTTTCTGGCAGATGGAAGGCTGTACTGAAACTGCAGGAAAGACTCTCAGTGGATATTCAGTTCTGTTGGGCATATGTCTATAAAATCTCAGGAATCCTGCACGATGGCAGCATACCGGGCACGCGCTGCCGTTGCTGATTCCTGAGGGTGTTAAATTTAACGTGGAAAGAAGATGTGTGGTTCGACACATTTCCACGGCCCCTCCATGTAACTCACCTGTACATGTGGCAATTTATAATGTTTTCTTTCTAATCAAGGAGGACACAGATGAACACCCACCAAAGGAACCCCACCCCAGTGCTGAGGATCCCAAGTGGCCATGTCCTTGGAAAGCATTTATTTCTGCAAAGAGGTCTAAGGCATAATCATTTTGGGGAACTTGAAAAATATCAAACAAGCGTACATTAAATTCATTCTGAACCTTCCCAGAAGAGCTGCCAGCATTAACGACACGCAGAGTACTTTCCCGGGCTAAGTAGAGGGAAATGGTATTAGCGGTAGGTGTTTCATAGGTACCCACACATCAGGAATAAAGACCCAGACCTACAGGAGAACGGACTTGAGGATATGGGGAGGGGGAAGGGTAAGCTGTGACAAAGCGAGAGAGAGGCATGGACATATATACACTACCAAACGTAAGGTAGACAGCTAGTGGGAAGCAGCCGCATAGCACAGGGTGATCAGCTCGGTGCTTTGTGACCACCTAGAGGGGTGGGATAGGGAGGGTGGGAGGGAGACGCAAGAGGGAGGGGATATGGGGATATATGTATATGTATAGCTGATTCACTTTGTTATACAGCAGAAACTAACACACCATTGTAAAGCAATTAAACTCAAATAAAGATGTAAAAAAAAAAAGCCACAGATGCATACGTGTAGCTTTGGAGACAGTTTATAGCCCATGCCTTTCCCTTAAGTGGGAATTTCTAATTAAACAAGTGGATTGAACAGCAGTATCTCTAGCTGACCCTGACCCTGACCGCCACGCCCATTAGTATTATGGGAGAAAGATAGAATACGCAAGACAAAGAGAAAGGTGAGGAAATGACAACAAGCAGATCTCGGGAGCCAGAATCAGACGGACAGTGTCACAGCCTCAGGAGGAGGCATGATGCTCCCTCGCCTTGACATGTGTCCACACATCCTAATCCCCGGCATTGCGCGTAGGGTCCCTCAGAAAAGGGGGCGCCAGCAAAAGGGACTTCGGAAAAGGGATTAGCTTAAGGATGTTTAGATGCGAAAATGACCCTGGATTATCCACGGGAGGCTCAGTATAATCACAAGCGTCCTAGTTTTCTCTGCCATCCAAAATACGAATAAATTGGGAATCCCCTGGCAGTCCGGTGGTTAGGACTCAGCGCTTTCACTGCCGTGGCTCTGGGTTCAATCCCTGGTCGGAGAGCTAAGATCCCACAAGCCACGGGGCATGACCAAAATGAATAAATGAACCCATAAAATTGCTTAAAGACACTGGTAAAGAGAAAATCTTAGAAACAGAATAAAAGACATTAAAAAAATACAAATAATTTGACAAATGTTTTATCTATTTGGGAAAAAAGTATAGTGGCTGTAACTCACTGTTTATGTCTATTCCTTTTACTGTATTTATTAATTAATTTAATTATTTTTGGCCACGCTGTGTGGCATGCGGGATCTTAGTTGCCCGACCAGGGATTGAGCCCGTGCCCCCTGCATTGGGAGCACAGAGCGTTAATCACTGGACCTCCAGGGAAGTCGCTACTGTTTCAATTTAACTCTTTACCTCCTTTGTATACTGGATTCTCCAAGTCTGAAAGCAATGTGTTAAATTCTACCAGCACAAATGTCTTCCAGGATGCTTACAATAGTTTTCGTTCTCTACATTTATTGTTTGGAGATGTTAATCACTGTGTTTCCCTGTGGAGAGTTTGGATGAACTTCTATGAAACAAGTTGACTGTAGCAGCGAAAGAGAGAAAGAGGCAGAGAAAAGGGCAGGAAAGTGAGAAAGCAGATGTGTTTCCAACGCTCTGAAGAGCTCAGCGTGGCTGACAGCAGGGCTCTGGGTGGTCTATGGCCAGGGGGTGGGTGGAAGGCAAGGGGAGGGGAGATGTGGACTCCACATGTATGTTTGAAGAGTGCTGGCTGTAAGGATGACATCAAGAGACAGTCGGGCGTGACGGTCTGGAGTCCAGATAATGATTGTCATGGAAACACACTGAGGCTTTAATAAAATAACCCTTGTGAAAACACCCAGCCCTTTGCATGTCCCTCATACATCTTAGCCCAAGTGGACCTGTCCAGGTATCAAATCCACAGGACACATCATCACACTTTCCATCATTTCAAAGCAACATCCTAAAATTGATTATTCTGATAACAAAAGCCACACACATCAGTGCAACAGAGCAGTGGCAATAACTGAAACATACATTTCCTTGGGAATCCCGCTTTCCCAAGGGACCGCTAGAGCTCGTGTCTGTGTCTGAATTAACCTCTGGATTTCACCAGAACTCACCGTTATTGACCAGTACGTGGAGTGGGATTTTCTTCATCTTGAACCTCTGGACGAACTGCCGAATAGACCTCATGGACGCCAGGTCACAATACAGAAATTCCACTGCAGAGAGACAAAAATGCGTGGTTATCCTCCAATTTACCACAGATGCTAAGACGATTTCTAAAAAGGTTAACTTCTATCCCTCCTGGGAAGTAACACCGGATTAGAGAAAAGAGGAAGGTCCACTGTGGGCAACATATGCTAAGAAGACCCTCTGGGTTACGCCCTTGACGATGCCCTCTTTTTGAGTGTGGGTGGGACTGTGTCCTCTTATACGGCAAAGATCCTGGGATGCCACCCCTATGACTGTATTTCATTACGTAATATTCCCTCTTGCAAGCAGACTAGAGGAAGAGAGATTCTCCTGCTGTTCTGGAAGAAATAAGTTACCTCGTTGGGAGAGAGCCATGAGGCAAGACCCTCAGGGCAGCTCCTGGGAGCTGAGAACAGCTCCCACTTAAGAGCCAGCAGGACAGTCAGAACCTCAGACCTACAACCTCAAGGGTCTGAGTTCATCCAACAACCATGTGAGCTCAGAAGACAATCCTGCAGTCCAGAGGGGAACTTAGGCCAGACAACCCTTCTGAGCGGAAGGCAGTTCTCTGGGTCATTCTGCAGCAGTGTGGTCCTTGCACTGTCGCAGCTGGCTCTGCTGAAGGATCGCTTTGGGTCTCCCCAGGCCCAGCTCTTGTTAGATGCTCACAGGGATATCTGTGGTCCCAGGACCCAGGAACAGAGGGGAGTACGGCTTCCAAATCCTAAGGACCAGCACCTACTATGCCATACATCTCAGGGGTGAGACATGCCCCTGCAGGATTTTGTTGGTTTGTGGTTTCTGTAGGAAGTTTTAAATATAATTACACCTGAGAGCCAGCAAAAGTACTCGCTTGAGAAGGTACATATTTTAGAACACGTATGTTAGTGTTCACTCAGAAGAGACATTTTAAGATAATCTTCAGCACGGAAAATGGAACCTATGTGGGCCAAGTCACACAGCCACTGAGGACAAGCGAGTGTATTTATTTATTAAAATATTTTCCCCAAAAGTTTATAGTGGGAGTCGGGGTGGGCATGCTCCTGGATCAGAGTTACTCAGCGTGGCCTATGGACGGGCACCATCCTGTGATCTGTTGGTTACTAGTCTGCCAGAGGACACGTTCAGAAATTGAGGATGCATTTAGAAATTAAAAAAAATCAACAGCCATTTTATGTTTGCCGAATCCAGTAATTAAAAAAAAAAGCAACACTGGGCACTACCGTTTTGCATGTTTCTTACATGTATTTTTTCTCATAATTCCTTTCTATTCTGTCTCCAATGGCATCAGGCTGTGACAGACTGGGGACAAGGGAGCTTTGCCACAGGGCGTTTGGAAGTTCTGCTCCAGAACACGGTGCCACCTGGATAGGC